AGTGAAATCCTATCTCCAAAAACAAAACATTTAAGATTTTGCTTCCTAACTCCATGAACCATAAAAGACTAGTGAGTAGAATTTACTTCATGGCACTGCTATGGAGATATTTATGATATGTATATGTATATATGTCCATGCGTGTGTGTGTGTGTGTGCGTGTGTGTGCGCGTGCATGCGCGAGCGCAGGTGTCCACATGCATGCATGAAGATGTTAGAGGTCAATCTTGGGTGTCTACTGCAAATTACAGTTCCCCTTATATTTGAGACAATGTCTTTTGCTAGTTTGGAACGTACCTTTTGGCTAGCTAGGTGGCTGGAGGATCCACTCAGCCCCATCTCCCCAGTATAGAAATAAGTATGAGCTGCTATGGTCACTTTTTTTATACAGGGGCTGAGGACCAAGCTCAGGTCCCCATGCTTACTGGACAACAGCTCTCCCACCCCTGGGGATTTTTACCAATGCTATAAAAAAGAGACAGTATTTTCCTAATCCTACAGGAAACTATCACTTTGGTAAATGCAGCACAAGAGTCTCCCACTTTCAATAGGACTTCATACCCAACCACTTTAATGGATTTTTAAAATACATAAACTGGGGTAAAGCATTAAACAAACAAAGGGAATCTTCACAGAAATTCTGACCCTTAAGACACACACTGCAATCAACACTTCTAAATAAATTCATGAAGAACCATTAGAAACCAAAGTTTCTTCCTAAATTGCAACAGACTGGTTTAATAATTAGACTCGAGGACACTGCAACAATGCAGAGGTGAAAATTATGTACCCAATATGATTTTCAAGTTTACATATTTTCAGAAGGAACTGTAGCTAACTATACACAGGTGTGGTTTGACTGGAGCCATACAGGGAGTTATAAGAAAAAAGAAAACTGAGCACACTGAGTTATAAGAAAAAGAAACAAAACCCAGGCACACCAAGGAAATCAGTATGGGTAACTACAGTATAGGGACGTGCCCTTTGAGAAATGTATTAAGGGGCTGGAGAGATGATTTGGTGGCTAAGATCACTGCTGCTCTTCCGGTAGACCTGGGTTCAATTCCCAGCACCCACAAGGTGGATCACAACCATCTGTAACTATAGTTCTGGGGGATCTGATGTTTCATCTGGCCTCCAAGGACACAAGTACATACATGGTGCACAGACATACATGACAAAACACCCACACACAAAATAAATGCAAACTTTTAAAGCATAAATCAGCCCACGCCCCTACACCTGTCCCACTCCCCTATGGGATCAGCATCCTTTATCATAGTGAAAGCTGAACTTAAAAGCTGTCACATGTCTGCCTCTCTGTGCAGACAGAAGCAGAGTTCCCAAGATTTAAATTTCTCTGGTAGAAAAAAAAAAAACCTTAGTCTAGCAAATGTGGTATAGAGAAGGACAAAAAGAGTGCTCAAATCCCAGCTCTGAGGAGACAAAGAGACAGGCGGCTCAGTAGCCAGCCAATGGGTGCAGGCATTGATGGCTCACGCCTTTAATCCCAGCACTCCCAAGGCAGAAGCAGGTGGATATTTGAGAGTTTGAGGCCAGCCTGGTCTACAGAGCGAGTTCCAGGACAGCAGGTGTAGCTCAGAGAAACCCTATCTCGAAAACCAAGAAAGAAAGAAAAGCAAAACAAAACCATTGAGGTTAGCGCCTGTGGCTTCCACAGGCATATACACACATACACACATAAACATACAACATGCACAGACACACATACACAAGGGCATATCAAAACCTAGGTATAGAGGTCTAGAGAGATGACTCAATGGTTAGGAACGTGTGTTGTTCTTGCAGAGGACCAAGGTTCAATTCCCAGCACCCACACGGTGGCTCACAAGTATCTGTAATTCCGATTCCAGGGTATTTGATATCTCCTAACTTCCCTGAGCACCAGGCATGCATGTGGTACACATATACACATGCAGGTAAAATATTCATATTCATAAACATATATGTGTGTGTTTAAAATTCCTAAGTATAACCTGTAATATCTTAAATCAGTATCTTGCTATTCAAACTATTCTTCACTGGAGGATATATTTAAAGCCTGGAGGAAACCTGTTTCTAATCCTACTTTTTAATTAATAAGATCACTTAAGATCTTTAGACAATTGCAGACATGTGAAGTCAATGTGCTTCTAAATAATGATTCTTATAAATAATAAGAATTTTGTATCATTTTACTCCAGAAAAAAAATTACTTTGTTAGCCTTCTTAAGAGTAAAAGAATGGCCGGGTGTTGGTGGCGCACGCCTTTAATCCCAGCACTCGGGAGGCAGAGGCAGGCGGACCTCTGTGTGTTCGAGGCCAGGCTGGACCAACAGCCTCCAAAACAGAGAAACCCTGTCTCGTAAAAAACCAAAAAAAAAAAAAAAAAAGAGTAAAAGAATGAAGAATGGAGCCAGGCATTGGTGGCACACGCCTTTAATCCCAGCACTTGGGAGGCAGAGGCAGGCAGATCTCTGTAAGTTCGAGGCCAGCCTGGTCTACAGAGTGAGTTCTAGGTCAGGCTCCAAAACAATACAGAACTGCCTGTCTCAAAAAAAAAAAAAAAAAAAAAAAAAGAATGGGCTGCAAGTTTACTGCATGGGGAAAAACCCCTTCATATATTCAAAGTAGTGTAAGATTATTAATAGCAGACACTTAGAAACTGAAAAAGCACTGACTCTTCCCTTGGGTTCATAATGTAACTAAAAGCGCAATGGAGATCTGGGTCCACAAAGTAATTGAAAGCACGATGGAGACCTGAGTCTGTAAGGCAACTAAATAAAGCACGATGGAGACCTGGGTCTACAAAGTAACTAAAAGCCCCACAGAGACCTGGCACCTCCACTTTTCATCCCTCTCCTCAGGCATTTCACAAAGCACCAGGATCCCAACATACCTACACGTCTCTGTCATTATCCTCAATTTGCAGACACCTTGGACTTTATGGACAACAGGACCTTTACAAGAGGGGGTGAAACTGGTCCAGAGCAACAGCCAGTTCAAAAATAGACTCCCTACCCTCTGAGGGCAGTTGTGATGATGGTGAGGCCACCCTGAGCAGGAGAAACCATCTTCAGTGAACTAGATTAATCCCCTCGGCAGTGATGGTGATCACTTCTCGGGGGACCAGCTTGCAGGAACAGATCTGAAACAGTGACCTAAAGGGCCATGCCTCGACCAGAACTGCCTGCTCGTACCTTGGGTCCTGCCCAAGTGCCCTGTAGTTAAAGCTCACGCCAGGGTCTGAAGATGGACAGTGACCTAAAGGGCCATGCCTCGACCAGAACTGCCTGCTCGCACCTTGGGTCCTGCCCAAGTGCCCTGTAGTTAAAGCTCACGTCAGGGTCTGAAGATGGACTTGGGGTATCCACTCCTCTCCAGGCTGATGACATCTCCTTCTGTTTTTCACAATTATTGATCTTTTTCACTGGTGTAATTAAATGACCCGATGGGGCTGTGGGAGCTGATATTTCTGCCCTACAACTCTAGTTGCAGATTGTTCAATACTGGGTCTTTAATCCCAGTTTTGGGGAAGCTCTAGAGGCAGGCAGATCTCTTTGAGTTCAAGACCAGCCTGTACTACATAGCCAAGTGCCAGGGCAGCCAGGACTACATAGAGATGCCCTGTCTCAACCCCTCCTCCCCCCCAAAAAATCTTTTCATTTCATTTTCTCTTATTTTGCTTTGCTGTGTACAGACTCACTCACTTTAGATATTTATTTCATATTAAAGCAACATAACAAAGGAAGACATTAAAACAACAACACTGCAATGGGTCACACTCATCAACCCACTAAATGAGACAACTATTAATTTCCCCTTTAAAACAACTGTATGCATTTGAGTTTTTAAAAGCAGGCATAAAAGTCCAAAGGGAAACCAGTATTCATCTCATATAATTAAGCATTCAACTTGCCAATCTATGCAAGGTCAAGACAGAACAGCAGTTCATGATATCTATGCTTACAGATGCATGCAAGGGACCTGTTAACTCCATCAGTTTATATTCTTTCCACAGCACACAGAAATCTATCCAAGGGGCTTAAGCCATAAATGCATCTAGAAAGACAAGTTCTGTAAGGTCCTATGGTTTTTTAAGTGGAAACTCAAGTAACTAGCGTCATTTGCCTGACTTGGTTTAGGAATATAAATAGACACACTAAGTCAGGAGGGGTGGCCCATGCCTGTCATACCTCCACTTGATAGGTGAAAACAGGAAGGTCAAGAGTTTAGGGGAGATGGAGGGAACTCGATGGGGAGAAGGAGGGATAGAAATGAAGTTAGTACAGTATACTCAAACATGAATTTATCATCACTGTTACAAAAAGACAAAGAACCCATAAGCTCTGGGGGAAATGCATACAACCTCTAAATCACCTTGACAAGATGGGAATGTAATGAACTGCTTTTCCTCTCATGTAAACTTGGCGCGGCTCGTGCAAGGTGGGAAAGTGGAAGAGTGTGGTAGCTCAAGATTGGGTTCATCGAGCCTATACATGAGACCTCATCTCAAAAGATCAAAACCAAACAAACTAAACTAGACACTAGTAGAAAAATACATGTTAAAATACATGAACAAGCTAATTCAAGTAAGCTTATCTTTGTTTTGTTTTTTGTAGACAGGGTTTCTCTGTAGACCACTGGCCTGGAACTCACAGAGATCTGCCTGCATCTGGGATTAAATGTTTGCAACACCCCCCAACTCTCCCCAACCCCGCCCCTCATTCTACAAGTTAACTTATCATAAAAGTGACCCCTGCATGCATTTGAATGTGTCCCCCATGAATTGAGATTTATAGAATGCTGGGCGTGATGATGCATGCCTTTAACCCCAGCCCCCAGGAGGCAGAGACTGGCTGATCTCTGAGTTCCAGGTCAGCCAAAACTACACAGAGAGAACCTGTCTCAAAACAAACAAATAAAAAGACTTATACGGCCTTCAGTGTCTCTCAGCAGCCTTGTCTCCTGGCTAGGCTTCTGTGAACGCTGGTACTCACCAACATAAGGTAGTATGCAGTTAGAGCCGCACAATGGTGAATTACAAAAAACTTGTCACCGATCACTTTCCAATTCAAAAGTATAATCAATAAATCTGCAAGAAGGAAAAATGAGATGTTACATTGGAAAAAAAAGCTGTTTGATTTTGAGTGTATTGACCGTTAACTCTTGGCTGTCCACTCTGACGCCAAGGCGCTTTGTTACTTAGAAGTCCCTGACTCCACCCACATCCCCACAAAGTCTCAGCTCCTGTTTACCTCCTTGCCCTCCCTACTGTGGCAACCCCAGAACAAGGGCCAAGCTAGCAGAAGCTTCGCAGCCTCAGAACCCACTGGCCATACCCAACGCTACTAACAACTCCTAGAACGATAAGCAAATGGCTTGTTGCCACAGTTAAACAATCAAAAATAAGTTGAAGATAAGTTTAAGTTACTGATTTTTAGCCCTACAGCATGGCAAACAAGAATCAGTAAAAGGTACAAAATTATCCCTTCACTTAAAATACTAATACTTATTTATTTATTTATTTATTTTTGAGAGCGAGAGCCCATGTAGGTTAACTGGCTTCCAATTTGCTATTTAGCCAAGGTTCACCTGAACTCCTGGTCCTGGGATTAGAAGCATACCAAAAAGTCAAAAGATACAGATAAATATTAATGAAAACTAGTAAAACCATAAAGAACTTTGACTGTTCAAAAAGCCTACAAATAAAGAGAAATTTCTCATTCAGTCTATGTACCATAGCTCAGAAAATAGTTTAACAAAATAGAAACTGCTCAAAATATTAACACAACTATTGTCTTTTTTTTTTTTTTTTGGTTTTTTGAGACAGGGTTTCTTTGTATTGTTTTGGAGGCTGTCCTGGAACTAGCTCTGTAGACAAGGCTGGCCCCGAACTCACAGAGATCCGACTGTCTCTGCCTCCCAAGTGCTGGGATTAAAGGCGTGCGCCACCAACGCCCGGCTCATAACTATTGTCTTTAGGAAATGGTTGAACATCAAATGAAGACTGGGAACACCATGGGTTCACATGGTGGCGTCAGAACTTTAGAACCTAGAGATTTAATTTTTAAAAGCAGAGGTTACCAGCACAAAACTAGATATAAACATTTTGAAAGAGGACTCAAGCTGTAAATTTTAAAGAGAAACTAAGTAACAAAGAAAAACAATAGAAGCTTATCACTAATTACCTGATACCTTTAATATATCCATCTTCTCCCCTGCATGTCTTGTTTGCATTTTCCTTGGTCACAGGCTGACAGTTTTGTAGTAGATTCTACAGAGACTGGGATGACCTTACTCTGTGTGCTCAGTGTTTTATGGATTGCTATTTGGGAGAGTGTTAATAATAATTTTATTCTTACAGGATTCTGGAGCTTCTGAGGAGGCTCTGTGGCGTGTTTGCCTAGCCTAGCATAAAGGCCTGGGTTTGGTCCCCAGCACCACATGAGCTACAAGGTGGTACCTGCTTATAATGCCAACAATTTTAAGTTGAGGCATCTTAAGGTCAAGGTTACCCTTGGCTACACAGCAAGTTTGAGGCCAACCTGGGCTACAGGGAACCCTGTTTCAAAAACAAGACTACGCTAACATAAAAAGATTGTCTGAGAGTTACTATTCTGCAATGATAGTATCATTGGCCCAGGAATGTGACACACTATGAATTGTGTGATCATGTCAATGACATCATTTTCTGTCAAAAGAACAAATCCTTTCCCAATGTGTTGGCGGAGTTCCTTTTTTAAATTGGGTTATCAAATAATTCAACAGTCCATCATTTCTCTAAAACATACCCCTTCCTCTTAAAGAGTTACTTATTTCAATGTAATTATTTTGTTACAATTCACATCTTTTCAGCACATAAATTTTCTGAAATTCATCCTTTGTCTTTATTGTTATGATCGACTTTTATTTTCTTTCAGTTATTTAGTAAGTTTTAGAATTATAAAATTGGGTTCTTCTATAAATGTCCAAATCGTGGTTGATATCTTTGTGTATCCAAAAGATAATCCAAAATGTTCCTAACTGCAGTTAAGATAGCATATTGTATACTTCCCTTGTCCTTACTGTAAAAAATGCCAACCCAAACCCCACCCAACATGAAAAAAAAAAAAGAGCAGAGGAGAATGTGGAGTTAAGAGTCCACACTTTAACTGATCATGTCTAGACAGCTTACGTGTGCAAACTTTACCCAAACAATAAAAATTCCAGACTACTGGAACATTCTTCAAGGGTCCTGGCTAGTGAGGAGCACAGGCTTAACCATCACTAGCCTTATAGTAATTATACTAATAGGCTTTTTGGGAAAAAGAAAGGTCATTGTTTTGCTTTTTTATTTTTTTAAGTGCTAAGACCTCAGCTGTTTGAGGCCTCTCTGCAACTAAGTTCTTTCTTGTTCTAGAAAGCCAAAAACGAAGTTTCAGGCTTGCCACCATTGAAGGTTTTATTTTTTTTCCTGTACAGATCTTTAAAGCTGTTTTTCAAATAAACCAAAAGCATAAACAATAGGTTCTTTGCATCACTCCATGAGAAGTTTGAGAAGTAATGAGCAATGAAAAGGTGCTATCACATACCAGAAATGAGGTAGCCTGAAGCAGTTGCAATATTCAATTTCACACGCGCTGGATCGCCCCTATACATATTTAAAACAAAAACCCACCACATTATCTTCTTAAACACATGGATGGTTTTATTTTTCATCTGATTTATTAAGACAAGGCTTCATGTGGTCCAGGCTGGCCTTGAACTTGCTAGGGCCAGCCTTGAACCAGGATTCCTGATGTCTTGTTTCCACTTCCCCTGCTAGGAACAAGGGATACAGCAGCACACCCAACACAGTGCCGATTGTTTTAATCAGAAGACCTGTTGCCCATACTTCCAACAGAGTTTCCTCTAAGGCTAAGTCAGCCTCCAGAATCTTCCAGAAAAAGGCCAGTTACTGATTCTTGGCATTTAAACTAGGCTGAAATCCTATCTGGAGTGCACAGAACTATTGCAGATGCTCACAATCCCTGGGCTATAACACATAGTGTTTTTGCTTTAAACTTAGCATGGGCAGTTTCAATGCACTTCTGGAGGATGCCTAACGACCCACTGGCCTAGGTGGGGAGTAGGTCACTACCAATTCTCACTCTGTTCTAAACCTATCTAAGCACAGTGTTAGGTTAAGATAATACTTCTGACTGCACAAATAGACGCAATTTTTACCCCCCCCCACACACACATGATTTTTAAAAAGTACAAGAAAGTAATTTTACAAAAAGACTTCATATGACTTGTTCATATGAAACTGGTTTTTTAAATTTCCTTATTTAGAATCAGGGACTCAAATAAATCAAGAAATCATCTATCTCACCTTTGATTTTTGAGGCAATACAGTCCTATCAATATAGGATGGGAGGGATTTGCCTATTAACTGAGAATATGTCAGAACAGGACAATTTGACCCTGGCATTGTGACCAAGGCCACAGATGCATAACAATATAAAGAATTTACTTTAGCCGGGCGTTGGTGGCACACGCCTTTAATCCCAGCATTCGGGAGGCAGAGGCAGGTGGATCTCTGTGAGTTTGAGACCAGCCTGGTCTACAGAGTGAGTTCCAGGACAGCCTCCAAAACAATACAGAGAAACCCTGTCTCGAAAAACTAAAAAAAAATTTACTTTAAAATTTTCTATTTCATTTATTATTAGTAATATATGTGTGTTGATCATATGTGTATATGACATGTTTGAGTATAGGTGTGCACATGCTAGTGTGTGTGTGTGTGTGTGTGTGTGTGTGTGTGTGTGTGTGTGTGTCAGAGGACAACTCTCAGGATCCTGCTCTTTCATTCTGCCTTTTATGTACACTCCAGGAGTTAAACTCGGGCAGACAGGCTTGGGCAGGACATAAGCTGCTGAACACCTCACTAGCTAGGGTGGCCCATATCCGCTCCACTCCATCCTTCATGTGATTTGCAGCTTGCATTACTTTAAAATTAACACCAAATACAAATGGTAATAACTGAACTAAAACAGAAATGCAGAAAAGTCACATTTTCCTCATTCATTTTGACCTGTAAATACGATCCAGGAAAATTAGACCGGGAATACATCATAGAAGCAAATTAAAAAACAGCAAAATTCACATTAGGTTGAAGTTTACCAAGGCAAAACTTGACCAAGGAGCCACATCTTTTTTTGTAATAAAATGCACTTCTCAAAGGACTGGTTCTGTTTACAATCATGAATAAATAATATGGGGGGAATTAAAGCTATAATTTATTTAGATTAAGAATAAAAATCTAGTCAAGGTATAACATATGCTAAATTGAGTGAGTCATTTTGGAAAAAAAATATCTTCCTGATGAAAATGAAAATTAATCAGGTGATATAATCCTAAAGAGACAATTTTACACTTATGGGGGGTATCCTTGTAGTCACACAGTGGTGGTCCAAACACTTAGGTGAATTGTCCTGTATTCCACAGAACAGTCACCTCACATCTCACACCTACTCCCTCACAGTAAGCTGACCTAAGCCCTCCTAAGTAACTCCAGAAGTTTGTAAAATTTCTGCAATTGCAACCATACTTAATGTTTCCAGGAAGAGCCATCTGCAGGGTTCCCTAACATTATTACACATACTAAATCATATTTATGTGTTTCTTATATGATTTTAATCTGTCTCCCATGGGCATCTGTAGACTTGCAGATTCCAATTCTTTGGTGGCAAACAATGGATCACACACAAGTTTCAAGGCAAGTCTTCAGTGACTGCTCCAGCTGACAGTCCTAGCTCAACAACGACTGACCTCACAGCAGGGTTTGTAATACCTTGGTTTTTCTCGACGAATCATATTCGCTTTGTTTTAGGTAGCAATTGCAATATGAAAGCAAAATGGCCCTCAACATTATGTTCATAACTAAAACCATTTTAATATAATTGGCTGAAGTAGGACTGACTGTAAGCACTTTAATAAGGCATACATCAAAGATAATCAATATGTTTTTAAGTACTGCAAATGAGGCTATTAATAATTCATAGAAAAGCCTAAATCAAGATGAACAGCTTGGAAAGAAACAGCTCAGAAAGAAACAACTTACCAGATTGGATCTGCTATAGTAGGTTCGTCAAATAAGAAGAGGTACAAACCAAAACTCCCAACCAGCAAAGAGTGGCACGTGGATACTACCCTGAAATGAAATTAGGCACACAAAGAGCTCAGATTCCTCGCAATAAACGACTTGCTCCTCCAGGACAGTTTCCATTCCATAAATGTCACACCTCAAAGCATTAAGTTAAACGTGAAAGAGTGAAATGTAGGAGTAGAGGATATCTGGGGATGACTAAACACTGTCATTTAGAGGGAACAGGGGTATGGCTCAGCAGCAGAGTACCTGCCTACCATGCATAAGGCTCTAGGTTCAAGCCCCAGCACCATTAATAATTAATAATTAAGGGTCAGGGTAGTGGCACACGCCTTTAATCCCAGCATGCAGGAGGGATGGATCTCTGTGAGTTTGAGAGCAACCTGGTCTGCATATCAAGTTCTACACCAGTCAGAGTTATATGGTAAGACCCTGTCTCAAGAGACATAACAATAATGATGATGATAATTTAGTCATTTAGAAATCATAGGTCCACAGCTTTATTTCCAAGGGAACAAGTTGTATAACCCTGGGTGAATCACTTCTCTGTGTTAAGGTTCTACAGTGGAAACATACTTGATGACACAGTTGGTAAGGACACAACCCTGCAGCCTCCAAGCTCCATCCACAGCAGTGTAGCTGCAGGAGAGTGTTTGCACCAACACCACCTGGCATTCAAGCCCTGCATCTAAGTCACCACACAGAGGGCTCCCTACAGCTATTCAAAATCCTAGGAGAGGAAAACATAACCTCTCCTGAAGTCCTGAATACTGATTAGTAACCATATGTCCAAAAAGTTTCCCTTTTGGCTCCCTCCAAGGATGGGTCAGCAGATAAAAAACACCTGCTGCTGATCCTGAGTCCCAGAGGTCCTGAGCTTAGTCCCCAGGTCCCATATGGTAGAGGGAGGGACTCTCCTGACGTCCGCACACATCAATGGTGTATGTGCCCACAAACATACAAATATACAGAAAGCATAAAAACCTTTAGGTTTCCTTTTGTAAAATCTAATTTTTAATCCAGGCTTCCAGTGTTAGTCTTCCTGAGGTGTTATATGGTAAACCAAAGTACGGTAAGTTCTCAGATGATGGAAATGACATTTAGTCAAAAGCTCTTGCTATACTGAACAGAAATGGGAAGACGGATACTATGGATGCCTACAGCCATCGGGAAGGTGGAAGCAGGAAAATCTAGAGGCTATTCTGGGCTTCACAGCGAGTTGCAGGTCATCCTGGGATACCCGAGACTCTGCCTCAAAATCGCAAAATAACAACAATAAAAGACTATACTTGCAGAAGCTGCTGTTGGTAAACAGTTGAGTTTGCCATCTTTTTAAAACAATATTCCTGGAAAAGCAAAAATGTAGTTCCTATAGTAGCTAAAAAGAAACGCCAAAGGGAAAGATTTCAAAAGAGAGTTGTCTGCTGTCTGGAGCATATGTCACGGCTGGAAGCTGAGTTTTAAGACATGAATATGTTCTTTAGAAACAGGCCAACTTTCCTTTGTACTATTTATCTCTAAGTTCCAAGTATACAAGCTGAACAGGGATCTTGTAAGAGGCCAGATTTCTTCTTCAAAGCAGAATTTGGTTTCACATGTTATAATTTCCTGTACCACAGAACGGTGATGAGACTGAATAAAACACAAAATAGTTTCCAATTTCATTTTCATCTCTGCTTCTTCTATCTCTCGGCACCCTCCCTAGTTCTTTGGCTGCAGCTACGCAAGACTCAAAACCTTCTACATATTCTAACCACACTGGAAGGGAAGCAGAAGAGTTCAAAATTTACTCAGAAAATCTACGTCTCGCCGACTCGTCTTTCCCACCATTCCTTCCATCTTCAAATGTTAGAAAAAGGTGGGTTTTTTAAAATAATGTATATGGGCTGAAGGGATGGCTCAGTGGTTAAGAGTACTGTCTGCTCTTCCAGAGCATGGGGGGCTCAATTCCCAGCATCCACATGGTGGCTCACAACCATCTGTATCTCCAGTCCCAGGAGATCCAACATCCTCTTCTGACCTCCACAGGCACCAGTCAAGCACATGGTGCACAAACATGCATGCAAATAAAACACACATACTACATAAAATAATACCATTTCTTTTGTTTTGTTTTTCAAGATAGGGTTTCTCTGTGGCTTTGGAGTCTGTCCTGGAACTAGCTCTTGTAGACCAGGCTGGTCTTGAACTCACAGAGATCCGCCTGCCTCTGCCTCCCGAGTGCTGGGATTAAAGGCATGAACCACCACTCCTGGCAATTATACAAATTTTTTAAAGAATAAATACACTCTGCTGTCTAGTCTGTATAACCCAAACTGCACGTGGTGTTTAACCCGCATGGGCTATTCACAACTCCAAGAAATGTTTTCTTTCATTACCACCACAAAAGGATATGAGTTTATTGTGTGAATTTTTCAGACAGGGATATAAAACAGAACATCCTGCAGGCAGCTAGAGTCTACTAAATTTTCCCAAACTTACCTAGAAAGTGAAAAAAAATGTCCCTAGCACTTTCTTTTATGTGGATGGATGTTTTACTGGCATGCATGCTTAGTGCCCATGGAGGCCAGAAGAAGGCAACAGATCCCATGGAACTGGAGTTACAGGAGGCTGTGAACTATGATGTGAAACACTGATCCACCCCCAGCCCCAACATCATCCAATGCAAGAATTTTTTTTTTTTTTTTGGTTTTTCGAGACAGGGTTTCTCTGTATTGCTTTGGAGGCTGTCCTGGAATTTGCTCTGTAGGCCAGGCTGGCCTCAAACTCTCAGAGATCCACCTGCCTCTGCCTCCCGAGTGCTGGGATTAAAGGCATGCACCACCAACGCCCGGCAATGTAAGAATTCTTAAACTTTGCTTGTATGAGATCTTGTCTTTCTTTTCCTAACATCAAACAAAAAAAATGACCTTGAATTTCTTAAGGTGGTAAAGGAAGGCTTTTACTTCATAAAACTAAGGTCAATCAATTACATTGTCATGGCTTTACCTTGAGTTCCATTCAATCTTCTTCTCGATGCTAAGGCTGTTATAACCTGGACAGACTTTTGCTGAAAACCAGTGACTTACAAAGTGGAAGAGAATCTGAAAGGTAACGAAGCTGCTACAGACAATGCCAGTGACCAGCTTGGTGTCGGCTTCCATAGTTCTTCACCCTGCTAGGAGAGACAGGATGGCTCTAAGTTGCTATCCCACAATAAAACTACAACATTTTTAAAATTTTAATAAGTATACATGTATTTCAGTATTTTTAATTAAAGTGTATAAAAGTTTTCAGTGTAATGAAAATAAACCAAAAATTGTTTATTGTCTCTTCTCATTTACTACCTGTGTCAAGTGTCATACCTTTGTTATTTAAAACAAAAATACTTTTTTAATTATTTATTTATTTTTATTTTGTGTGCACTGGTGTTTTGTCTGTGTGCATGTCTGTGTGACAGTGTCAGATCTTGGAGTTACGGACAGTTTTGAGTTGCCATGTGAATGCTGGGAATTGAACCAGAGACCTTTAGAAGAGCAGTCAGTGCTCTTAACTGCTGAGCCATCTCTCCAGGCCCCAAAATACTTTTTTTAAGTACCTAAACGTACCCCCTAGTACCTTAAAGATCTCCATATCATTAAAAAAACATTTTACTATCACAATTCAAACTTATCTAATCTTAGGAGTTTAACATTAAGAGGAAATTCCAATTGCTACATTGAAATTATTCTTTGAACAATACTGTTCTGATTTCTCTTTGACTCAATTTTCTCATCTATAAATTGAGAGTTGACCAGGTAATTTCTAAGAAATATTTAAGCCCCCAAATCTTAGAACATTGCCTACAATAACAAGCAAAAAATAAATTACAAAGTTAAAAACTGGTTGTATTATGAGATAGAATACTGAGGATATTCTGGCATCTGGTGACTCAGCACCTACATCTAGTGACACCCAGCCACCTGTAATTTCAGGTCCACCGTGTCTGACCTTCTGGCCTCCATAGGTATTGCACTAGCATACACAAACACACATGCATATGCACAATTAAAAATCAAATAAATCTTTTTTTAAAAACCACATCATTGTGACTCCTAAGTTACTGGCAATGTTAACATTTTTCCTTGGACCAAAAAGCTTCCATAGTTTTTTTTTTAATCTTTTACAAAACTGTTGGTTTTACTTTAAAAATAATAAAGGAGCTTTAGGTTTTAGGGACAGTTATTATGTTTCCTACATTGCTGGACTGAACTTTAAGGCCAGGCATAATGGTGCACGCCTTCAATCCCAGGCTCAGGAGGCAGAAGCAGGTGAATCTCAATGATTTTGAGGCCAGCCTGGTCTACAAAGTGAGCTCCAGGACAACCAGGGTCACATGGCCATATAGTTTCCTGAGACTGTGTCTCACAGGGGGGAAAAAATAGGTACATTTATCCTAAAAAGCACTAAGGCATCTGACTCATATCCAGCAGTACAGTGTTTCTGTCTTTGATGGGGCTGTCCTCAGATGAGAGGGGAAATGAATCAATACACGTTTTCAAGCTCCTAATTTGAAGAAACAAAGTCACTTACTAAAGCCAATTTAATTCACCAGAGAAAAACCAAGTCATTGCCTGAGCTAGCAATAACCCCACTCCATACCCTGCCAACAAGGACATCCTAATTTGATGTCCCCATGGGGCTCCTTGTGACAGAATTCATATGTCTGTAATGAATTACCAACCCCTCCCCTGTCACTGCTTCTCTATGGGTGTATGCTTGGTAAAAGTATTGATATTGCAATTCTTTTCTGTAAGACTCCACTAATTTCACTGCTCACTTGCTTCTTACATTTTTTATTTCAATGTGTGTATACCGTGCATCAAAAAATTAAGTTGTGGCCTTTTAGCTTAGGCTTACTATTAGCCAAGTAATCTATAAAAGTAAGCTTTGTGTATCAAATAAACATGTTATTACTTGATTATGTGCAATGTAATTAAAGGTGCTTTTACAAGGGAAAAGCAAACACAAGCCTGGTGACCAGGTGGACACTTAATTACCGAAAATGGAATCAGTAACCAGAATGTAATAGGAGCCTAAGCCATGGTTCTCAACCTGGGGATCTCAACCCTTTTAGCATCAGATATTTACATTAAAATTCATAACAGAAGCAAAATTACAGGTATGAGGTGGCAACATAAATAACGCCATGGCTGGGGGTCAGCACAACATGAGGAACTGTGGTAAAGGGTGGTAGCATGAGGAAGGCTGAGAAGCCCTGCTCTGAGCTGAACTGAGAGGGTGACTGCCTGCAGCCCGGGATGCTGGCCCTGCAGCCCGGGATGCTGGCAGACTTTTGTTAAAATTCCATGTATACACGAGCATTTCTTAAATACTTCCCAAAAGTTGTCATAAAACTTACCACACATTGCCAGGTTTATGAATTATTAATTAACTAATACACTAAACAAAGTACTCCAACAATTCACCATTAAGAAATGCATCATGGGGCCAGGAGTCACAATGCATGCCTTTATTCCCAGCAGTCTAATTCCAGCACTAGGGAGGCAGGGACAGGTAGACTTTTATGAGTTCAAGGCCAGCATGGTCTATATAAAAACACCCTGTCTCAACAGAAAAAGAAGAAGAAGAAAAGAAAAAAGGAAGAAAGAGAAAAATGGAATACGGGCTCACAAAGGTGATTGAGTGGGCACAGGCACTTTTCACCAACCTGACACCAGAGTTGCAGCCCTGGGATCCACACAGTAGAAGGAGAGAACCGACTCCCACCACATGTCCTCTAGCCTCCACACGCATGCCTTGGCATACATGAGAGTGCACGAGCACATGTGCACACACAGACACACAGTAAACAAAAATAATTCTTAAAAGTGCATTATTCCTCCAAGTCCTAGATTTTATGGATTAGTTGTTATAGTGGATGAATGGTACATACATATTTTTAAGCTTTATTTATTATTTTATGTGTATTAGTGTTTTGCCTGCATTATGCACACCCAGGGCACGCAGAGGCCAGGAATTAGAGTTATGAATGGTTTCAGAGTCGTCACATGGGTGCTGAGATTAGAACCCAAGTCCTCTGCAAGGATAATACATGCTGTTAACTAAGGAGTCATCTCTCCAAAACCCAATAGTTTATATTTTCAACAGACTTATTTTCTGTTTTCTTGGGTTATATGATGAGAGTATTTCTTTGCCAAAAAAAAAGTTTCATTTATAACTAAACAAAGAGCACCATATATGCAAGCTGTGACTTCTATTAAAGGCTCAGCAGACAGAAGCTAATTAAATTGTTCTACTCTCGGTTCTGCTTCTTAATAAGCAGCTGCTTGCTTAATCAGTCATGCCAAATCGAGGACTCATCGAGAGAGTATTACAAATGCCCTCCCACCCCGACCAGAAAACTCTTAAGGCTTCTTGGAAGAAGCAGTTGCCCCTGTTTGTTCACTTCAGGTGCCTAAATCAGACGATGGAATGGTAAAAACGGACAGAGCAAATGATGCCTACTATTAGTCGAGATAAAGGGCCTCTGAGAACTTGGCAGTCACTAAGCATAGGCGATCACGGAAAGAGCGAGAAGTGTTAAGCTTCATTCATGCACCTCTACGTGTGGCCAGCAGCTGGTAGGGAGCTAGGAAGCAGCCCTAGAGGGAGCTGTCCCAGAAAAGAGCAGCTGAAACCGACAGGAGAAACGAACAAGACTCTAAAGAGATGAATTCTACCACGTAATTAGCTGTCTGGATTCACAGGAACTGTGGACGCTAAAGAAAGTTCCACCGTCTTGCTGACTATGACGATGCTTGCTGGTCCTTTCCCCACAAGACCGGCACAAACTTTCAGGACCTGATCAAGGGGTCAAGAACAAGCCTAGACATCTCCCCTCACTGTGACAGCCTTCCTCTTGCAGAAGGACATGCTCTCTGGAGACATGGCCCTGGAAATAGCAAAAGGAGCTGATTACACCTTCATTCCAGAATGACAAATACGTCCTACATTAGCCACCTGTCAGCTGTATACCAGGCTTTCTGTCAGGAGACAGCTGTGAGCCAGTAGGGAGGCGAGGATACCTATTAAAATCCTAAGTTAGGGGTGCTACAGGATGCTCCTTGCCCACTAGGAAATAATATCTAGTAGAGATAGTGCATAGTGAAGATACATCTAACGGTATTTGATGACTTGAATAAAAGAGAGGATAATAAAGAAAGAGGGCATTCTCTTTGTGTGTATGTGTGTGGGTATGTAGGCGTGCAGAGGCCAGAAGACAACTTCCGGGTGTCATTCCTCAGGAGCCATCTACCCTGGTTTTGTTGTTGTTGTTTTGTTTTTTAGGGTTTTGTTTTTGTTTTTGAGACATGCTGTCTCACTGGCCTGGAGCTAGCCAAGTAAGCTACACTAGCTGGCCAGTGAGCCTTGGTGATCTGCCTGTGTCTTGACTCCCAGACTGACTTTTTTTTTCTTTCATCCATGGGTTCTGAGAATCAAACTTAGGTCTTTGGGTTTGTCTGGTAAGCATTTACCACACAAGAGTCAGTCTCCTGGCCCAATAACTTCCCTTTTATCAACTGGACACTTTGAGGCTGAAACTCAAACAACACAGTTCCATTGAGTGTTTAGAACCAACTGCTCACCCGCAACCACAACTCCAACACTCACTTCCCTCAGTTCATCATTCACTTGTAAGATTTCTGAGGGAATATACTCAAATCACCAAAGCTGTTTCCACGCAGGCATGCAAGTAAGAACCACTGCCGTGACATGACGTTTAGTGGTAAAAACCCTTAAAGGGGTATGGGATAGGGCTGTGTGTTTGTCTTTAAGACCAGCAGGGCAGAAGGAAGCTGAGAACAATGCCTCACTCATGCTTAGCATTCCTTTTCCATCCCTCGCTAGCTCCCTTCCCTCTTTCCCACATTTATTCCAGATAAGTACGCCAGCAAATCTCCAGCTGTGCCTTTCTAATAGTAGACATGTTCCTCCCTGTTTCCCAGGAAAACGAAGGCTACCTGGCATGAACCCTTAAGTTGACATGGTCCACCCTGGCCCTCGTCTCTGAGCACCAGACTGCCTTCCTCACCCCTAACTCAGCCGTGCAGATCCAGTCCTCACTCCCCACTGCACCAGTGCTGGGTGACTCCATGTGGGATCACACAGGTCCCACACCCCTATCTGGCCCGGGAT